TAGTAAAATACTATGATACAACAATTAGTAAAGTAGTAACCCAATACAAGTTTCAAATCTATAAATTAATTATCTTCATATTTAATTGGATAAAACATCAAATAAAAATATCAGTAAAGACTATCAAAATTAAACCAATGCAGTAAAATCATATAAGAATTGTTGACCTCATTTTTGTATGAGGTCACTTGGACCGATCCTGACCTTAAATCAATTTGATCTCCAAATCAATTCAAACTCTAGGATCCTCCTAGAATCCTGACCTTAGGATCCATTCTAGTTCAATTTCAAAATTCAAAATTAAATATTCGCAGAGAAAATTAATATATTTTCAAAACTATATATACTTAAATATATTTTTTTAATCAAAACAAGAATGTACTCATGTTATCTAGGCCTCTTATATCACGTGCTCAGTATATCACATGCTTATATATAGAATCAATACTATCAAATAATATCAGTATTCAGATCAGTAATAATAACAATCTATTGGCATAAGAAGTAGAATAATGCAATAATGCTAAATTCGTGTAGTACTAAAAAATTTATACAATAATATTAATAATGTATCAAAATATGCATTTAAGTAGTCACACCAAACAAATAAGAAGTCCTAGCTATCATGGTGTTTTTTAGTGTTAGTATCAGTATTAGTAAATCATTGGCTCAGTAAATAGAGTTGCTATTCTTTACCCGTAAGCACAGTAATAATATCCATATAACTCCCAATTAGTGTATCATGTGAATTAATAGAGGATCATATCAAATTACTTTATTTAAAGAAAAATTCGTCGGCCCACCATCCTATAAATGTCAGTCAATCTCCAACTAATGGGTCAAATAATCTTTACTCATCTTTTATATGACACACATAGTATTATCACAATGTAATAACAATAATAATGACTTGCTATTACTAATGCTTTGAAAATCAGATCGGACCGACCGGTTCAACCAGTTCAACCTTAAATCATTCTGGTGGTCGATTCGATCCAGCTTATAAAACTGGCTATACATCGGACCGGATCAAACCGGATTAAACCGATGGTTCAACTGGCGAATCGCTGAATCGATTTGGATTGGAAAGAACTGACCTGTTTATAAAAAAAATCTTATTTTTGTTTTAATTAAATTTTAAATAATATATTTTAATTTATTAATTTTTTTAATATTTTAAAATATTTTTATTATATATGATGATCAATTACACCATTATATATACAAGTTATCTTAAATACCTCATATAATTTATTTAGCAAAAAAAGTGTACTTCACACTATTAAGTATTATTCTTATAAATATATTATTCTTAAATGATATTTATATGTATAAAATTTTATTATATATTTTAAAATTTTATAAATCTTATTAAATTTTTATATACATATTATATTATGTTAATTTTATTAAATTTTAATAATGTTATTATTTATTACGCCATCCAGTTCAACCAGTCGAACAGGCCAAACCGTGAATCTCTCATTCTTCTGGTTCGTTGTCTTGTCCAATTTTTACAACCTTGGTTATTACTTAAGCACACATTCATTTATAATATATTGCAGCAAATAAAGCATAATATAATTTAAAAAATATCAAAATATATTAATGGTAGACAATAAAAATCATACTGAGAAAAAAATCAAAGATATATTATTTATCTAGGTCAAAATACAGGTTATCACAATTAGTTTTGTCACATAAAACGACGGCCTTCCCATGACCCGATTAGGAAAGTAGATGTATTAGATTTTACTTATGTTAAGAAAGGTAGAGGTATAACTAAAAAATTTGGTTAGAAAATATTAAAAATGACATTTCTTCTTTAGATTTAGATAAAAATTTGACTCTTAACATGATACAATGGAGAAAATGATTCATATTGCCGACCCAGATAGTGAGATGAAGGCTTATTGTTGTTGTTGTTTTGCCCACCGTTATAGTAAGTTGAGAAATTTTGCATTGAGTTCATTTATGCTTGATTTGTTATACTACAATGATTTGTGAGTTATATTGATTGAAATATGTGAGTTTTGATATAAAAAAATATTTGTTGGGAGATATAAGAAGCTAGAAGCCTATAGATTTTAACTAATGCATGGAATATAGAACTCTTTGAAATTCTATCTATTAGGAGTTATAAGGGGCAAAATTTTGGATTCTATATTAAAGAGCGAGAAATTTGTATGCTGGGAGTTATAAATGGCTAGAATCTTGAATTCTATGTGAAAGATAGGGAAATATATTACATTTTGTTATGTGAAATAAAGTTCATATGAAAAAAAAATTCATTTCAACACATGAAATACACTAAAAAATCAGTGGCACATGAGGGAATGATAATTTTTTATTTTCTTAAGACAAGAGAATGATAACCTATCTTATGAGGAATGAAATCCCTAAGGGATCATGTTACTTGAGTGATCATAATAGCCTCCTATGACTTGCTCTATTGATCTCTCTAAACCATGCAAATAATATTCAATAGCTTTGATGGGATGATAATTGTTGGAAAGCTTCTTTTAGGAGAAACAAAAAAGAAATTTTTTAGAGGAACAAAAGGTATCTAAGCAAACGTTCATGTTAGACATGCAATATTATAAGAATTAAAAAAACTTTCTTAATGAAGTTCATTATGCGTAAATAAATATGATAAAGAAGGCTTACAAAATTTATATAAGAGCAGCACATTGATCACAAGTGCATTTATATAATGTAGGATTTAAAAAAAGAGCTCAATAAATTCTTTAAATCACATCAATAATTATAGATGTATGACATTTCACTATATAGGCAAGTTTGCTATCCTCCACTCTCATGAGCACATAGGCTTAGTTTTAGTGAAATTACTTAAATATTCATATTTTTTGTATGATGATCAGGGGCATAACCAACCTTAATTTTCAGGGCGGGGGCAAATTTATAAGTAACTATTAGTATTGCATTGCCTCAAATTTGGCTCTACCATTCACTACATGAAAATGGGTCAATAGCGACAAAAAAATATAGACAAAAAAAAATTGTCACTTCGGAGATATGTCGGGGGTCGACCTGCTCATCAGGGGGTCAAGGGGTAGTATCCTTGCGGGGCTTTATCACAAGTATTTTGGTTGTAAGGATATTTTCGGAACTCAAATTAATAAAAAATGATGAATTATCTTTACTATTTCTCTTTCTATTTGGTTAATTGTTTTCTAATAATAAGACATCTGCACAAAGAATTTTTTTAAGGGAGCAAGACTGCAAACGAAACACACGAAAGAGCTTTGTTAGGGCAAAAAATAAGACGAAGAGGGGCCATATTACTTAATAACCCGTCATATAAAATGTATTTTATTTTTTTAAGGGGGGCCAATTGCCCCCCTGACCAATAAGGGATGTTTCGCCCCTGATAATGATTTTCTTCTTGATCACACAAAAAACTTACCTTAATGAGATACCTAATTTTTATCTTTATTGCCCTCATTATAACACATGTGATGACATAATAAATGTGTTATTTTTAGTGTGATATTTATTTCATTGCTTTAAGAATGGATGATATTTAAAAAATAGCCTCTCTAACCTTGTGTGATTTTATAAATCAGCCAATAGATTAAAAAATAAAAAATTAAGATGACTAACTAAAATCCCCCCACCCACACCACCCAAAATGAAAACTATGTAAATAAATAGAAGACAAATTGGGCTGACGGGCATGAAGATAAAATACTATTTGACATCCTTCCGGTTATTAAAAAAAAAAAGAAGAAATTGAATAGACCAAAAAACTCAAAGCCAAATGAAAGATATCTCAAGCACAAAGGACGAAATTCCTTCCACCCAGGAAAGAGGAGTGCCCTCTAATTTAACATCTTGTCAAAGTACGAAGAAAGTATTATATGCGGAGTCTAATGATAGGGGAGGAATCAGCCTTAATTTTCAGAGGGGGGTAATTTTATGAGTAACGGTTGGTATTGCCTCGAATTTGGCTCGACCCTTCACTATAAGAAAATGGATCAATAGTGACAAAAAATAGAGACAACACAAAATAGTCAACAAAAAAATAGAGAAAAAAAAAGGGTCAATAGTGACAAAAAACATAAATATGATGTAATTGATTAATCATTCAATTTCTACAAAATGTATGCTGGAGTTGCCTTGGATTTGGTTCGACCCGTATTTGTTCATATCCTTAATTGTCGTAGGCTTCACAGATATGTCGGGGTTCAACCTAAATTTGAGTTGTAATAATATTTTTGGAATTCAAATTAATAAATAAAATGATGAATTCTCTTTACTATTTACTAGAGGAAATTGACTAAAAATTATAGTATTTTAAAACTTTTAAGGGGAGAGGGCAATTGTCTAAAAACCCTTGTAATAACGACTAAAAATTAGATATGGGCGACAAATTACCTAAAGAATCATAGTATAATTTCATTGAGCTAAAAGAGGTTCTACCCCTGAATGTAGCTTGTGTTCGGACTCCAATCACAATAGGCCACGTCAGTCTCCGCATAGCCTATGTATAATTTATACATAGCCTATATATAAACTATACACAATATACAGAGGATGTGACCTATTCTGAATGGAGTCCGTATATCATCCAAACTTTTAATGTAATAATTTTTCCCCCTTAGAATCCCGACAACATGGCACTTAATAATTTCTCCAAAGCATGATCTACGTAGGGGCCAATCTACGTAGGGCCAATCCCTGCGGAAGGAACTCTTAGTTAATTTATAAAACATTTGCTTAAAAATTCGTCCTTTTTATTTCATGCATTCTGTAGAGCCGTAAGATTTAGAAATTTTGTTATTGCAGATTTATCTTCAGCAAGATGAAATTCATCGGCCCATTTTTCATCTCCCAGCCTCCACCGCATGGCGCCTCTCTCCTTGCATGAGCCCATCCGACAGGAGCATTGGGGAGTATCATTCTCCTTTATTTCTCCTTTTATTGGTAAAGAAACCCCGCTTCTTCCACCTTGTCGTTCTTCTTTTTCCTTCAGCATTTAGAGCAGGATAATGCAATTATTAGCTGGTTTTAAGTCTCCCTCAATGCCATGATTCATTTCTTGTTCGTCCCTTAATTATTTCTAACCCTCTTCTCTCTTCTTTGGTCGCTTCAACGATTGAGGTACCAATGGAAAAATTTTCATGTTTTTCAACAGCATTCAATTCATTCAACTGCATCAGAATGATGATTTAATGGCTTTTCAAAGCTTTGGCTCTTACCTTCTAATAAATTTCTTGTGATGTTTCTTAAAATGACAAAATGACTGTTTCGCTTTCCTTCTCCTTTGATCGCTTTAATTGCAGCTTCTGAGTTGGCAAACGACACGTAATAACACTTGATATATACGAAAGGGAGTTGAACATTTGGAAGATCAATCTGTCTTTTTTTTTTTTTAAATTGTGTTCTCTTTGCCAGCACAGATTTATCATACATTTATATATCTTTAACAGCATATAAAAATATATCTCTCGATCTCTTTATATTAATACTTGTATATGTCTTGCCTCCTTGTCCTGTAATGTCATGAAGAAGTACATTAAGTCATTTTTCAACAAGATAATATAAACTTCTGCAGATCTACTTGGTCAAGGCTAAGATTAATAAAAAAAACATAGAGCTACAGTTAGAAGAACTATCTTCAAGGAAATGGGATTTTTTTCCCTACTGGTTGTGGCAAGCATGCCTGTTCTGCAATTCTTGCTGATAGGCTCTCTTGGGGCCTTTCTTGCGTCTGGTGATAGTCAAATCTTCTCAGCTAGCGCTCGCCGAGACATTAACAAGGTATAAAAAAGGGAAAGGGGAAAAAAAAACATCTTTTTTATTCTGATTTCTTCATGTTCATGCTGTGATATTTCTCTTTCTGAGAACTTTCCTCATATTCTGATTCTTTCTCCAACAGATTGTGTTTGCTGTATTCACTCCCTCTCTTATATTTGCCTCCCTAGCCAAAACAGTAACACTTCAGGAACTCATATCCTGGTAAAAATTATACAATTTCAGATTTTGCTTTTTTGTTTCCTAATGTCTTGAAGAACTTGGATTCTATTCGGTATTATAATCTTCTTTGATCATTAGGTGGTTTATGCCCTTCAATATTGCAATCACATTCTTCATTGGCGCCACCCTTGGCTGGATAGTTGTGAAGATCTTGAGACCACCAAGCCACCTTGAAGGTCTCATAGTAGCTAATTGCTCGGCTGGTAACATAAATTTGTCTGCAAAAACATTTATTTCTTCTACATCATTATGAGTAAATATGTAATATGATTCTTACTGAATTCCATTGCAGGGAACTTGGGCAATCTTTTGCTGATGATCATTCCAACATTATGCACTGAAGATGGAAGCCCATTTGCAAATCAGAGCACTTGTAGCGCACGCGGGCTCTCTTATGTTTCAATGTCTATGGCGGTAACAAATTGTTCTTCTTGGTTCACTTCATCTTGTTAAAGATTTATTAGTAACATTCTGTAATTAGTTTTGCAGCTTGGGGGTATATTCATTTGGACACATTCCTATAGCTTGATGAAAAGAGATTGCATCACGTATGAGAGGCTAAAGAATGAAGAGTTGCCGAAGACTATCAGTGAAGAGAATGAGAAAACAAGTTTAGAGGATCAGCTAGGAAATCACAAGGAGAGTGGAGAAGCAAGCAATAGTAAGGATGCTTGGGTGCCTCCATTAGCTAAATCAGCTGATGAATCCCAAGAGCAAGCAATTGTAAGTGAAATTCTCGTGTTCTTATTTTCTCATCATTCAAATGTTGACAAGATAACTGAAAATGGAATGATTGGAAATATACAGTAAGGTGCAAAAAATAGATAAGCAGATAAATTAGTTTTAAAAATTCTGTAAGAAACAAGAAATAGTCTAAGGTTTCGTTTGGGACGGTTTTCTTATTGCTTCTTAAAGCAGCTTTCTACTACAAATTTTAAAATTTTTTACAAGAAAGATGCTTTAAGAAGCAGTAAAAAAGTCGTCCCAAACAAAGCCTAAATGTAATGTGAATAAATGTTGTTTTAAAAAATATAGAAATTCAACATTTAACAAAAATAACTTGAGAATAACAATTCAAATAAGTAACCCTAAACATTTGGATTAGACTAATAAGGACATGATTATCATCATAATTCAAAACTATAAGGAAGATTTTTTTTTAAGGATATATTACATGATAGATGAATATTTTTTTGGTAAATTTAATTGCCATTGTTAAACTTTCTGACTTCATCCTGAAAATTCAATTGTAGATGGAACCACTATTGTCCAGTGGAAAGCTGAGAAGAAACGAGCCTTTCTGTAAGAAAGTATTAGAAACTGTTCATCTTCTTGTGAAAGAACTATTGGAACCACCTACAATTGCCGTGGTGATCTATTTTTGTATCAAAACCAATGTTTAAAATGCAAAAAATGATAGTTTATTATACAGAACTCTGATGTGTTACAGATGACTGGCTTTATTGTTGGTGCAATTCCTTGGTTGAAATCACTCATAATAGGAAGGACTGCTCCTCTTAGAGTAATTCAAGACTCTCTTGCGATGCTAGGGTGAGATTGCATTTGAAATTTTCTGATAATTCGTCTACTCAGAGAACAAAAACTTTATTTTCTTCATGAGTATATGATAAGTTGGCAACTGTAACGATTTGTATGCAGAGATGGCACACTACCTTCTACAACTCTTATTCTCGGAGGAAACCTTACTGCAGGCAAGCTCCTGAATTTGTGTAAACCAGATGAGTGAGATGGATCATATTCGAGCTCAGTAATTCAAAAACCTGTTTGTGCTTAGTAATCTTCGCAAATATCTTCTTATGTTGTTTGAGTTTGCCTATGAAGCTCATGTTCAGCTCAGCTTGAACTGTTTGGATATCCTGAGCTAAATTCTAGCTGAACACCAACGATTAAACATGAACGAAGCATCAAATTTTAATATTGAAGAATTAATAGGAAAAAAGATAGATCGACAATGATGTAGATCAAAAATATGCAAAAAGATATGTGCAAATGGATACTACTTGTGTGGCTTTCAATAGGGATAAAGGGAGAATAAGGATTCGAACATGAAGAAGCTTCCTCTTGCTCTTCTTCGGCTTATTTGTAAACCATGCTTGAAAGAAGTTTTCAAGCTCTGTTATTTCAATAGGGATAAAGGGAGAATAAGGATTCGAACATGAAGAAGCTTCCTCTTGCTCTTCTTCGGCTTATTTGTAAACCATGCTTGAAAGAAGTTTTCAAGCTCTGTTAGTTTGCTTCAATAGCTACAATCGAGCTTGTTTGAATCTTCCAAGCAGAAAAATCTCTACCTAGCTAGCATATTTATGGTTTTTTTTTTTTTTTTTTTATCCTGAATTCGCTAAAAGTACTCTCCTTTATTGATTTTAATCTTGCAAATGCTGCTTCTACTACCTAAAATTTATTCTCATTGTGTGCATTCTCAACTATGCACTCTGTTTTTTCACCTCCAAAAACTCAGTTTCCTAATTTGTTTCTGTACACACAGGTCTGAAAAAATCAGCAGTAAAGCCTTCAGTAATTTTAGCAATCGTCTTGGTCAGATATGTAGCACTTCCCATATCAGGAATTGCTATTGTTAAAGCTGCAAACGCTCTTGGTTTACTTCCACAAGATCCATTGTTTAGCTATGTACTTCTCACACAGTTCAGTATTCCTTCTGCTGTTTCTATTGGTATGTAATCTTGCTACTACAGAGTTTTGATTTCAGTTTCACTTATGCACTGGATGTGAAAGCCATGATTTTGACGGTTTCAATTGTTTGGTTGATTAAGGATGTCATACCCCAGGTGCGGAAGAAGGTACACCCCGGCAACACGGGATGAGATTAAGGAATAAAAAACATGTTTTGTATTCACAAAGAGAACATACATATACAAGAGATACAACATTTTTTTTTTAATATACAAGAGATACAACATGGTATATATATATATATACACACACACACACACATCAGAGTAAATAGAGGAAGTGAAATAAAGCCAAACCATTAATAGAAGTTCAATTAACCAATACATTCAAATGATAATAGTTATGATACAAACCAACAAGAAAATAAATATAACAAAAACAGGAAAGAAAACTACACAATCATCAAGATACATAAATGTAATAAACTACTACAAAATAATAAATACTAAAAACAATATATTGTTGGTAACCCTACTCCTGAGGCAATGGTCCACCAAACACATCTGTAGAACCTGCTGAAAAAAAAAAAAACAACGAGTGAGTTTGATAAATCAAACTCAGCAAGTAACTATCATCTCTCAAAGTAGGGGTGTAAAAACAGGTCAACGGGTCAGGTTTGGATCCAACCAGGCCTGATCTAGATCCAACAGGTCAACCCGAATCTAACCCGGTTTTGCAAAAAGGTCATGTTTCTCAATCCGGACCGACTCGCATGTGTTGTCGGGTTGAGCTAACCCGACCCACGAACGACAAACCCAAATGCACTGTGTAGGCAGGGGCAGGCGAGCGAATTGCAGTGCCGGAGGTAGCACCGCCTGCTGGGATTTATCATAAAATTTACTAGTCTTACGTGAAATTATTGTTGAAACTAAAGAGACAGCGTCACTTGAGACGGCTCCACCGACAAATAAAAAATCTTGAAAAAAGAAGAGATGTAGAGCGACAGTGACAACCCCGCAGGAGCCCACAACGATGGCGAGTTTCTACATCTTCATTTTTCCTGCAACAAGAAACTAAAACCAATAATATTTGCAAAACAGAGGAAGAAAATAGAATCTTCCTAAAGTTTGTATCGGGAAAGAACGACAACAGAGCAAGAAGAAGACTATAGTTACTGTGATTTGATTAGAGAAGCAATGGAAGAGTCACTGGTGTGTCATCATAAGGCTGTGAGAATTTTAAAGTAAGGAGAGCTGGGGGACTTTTGAGAGAGACAAGAAAAGCTCCAATCAAGCTGTTGTTGTTGAGTCTCCTGCAGGATTCATGAGAATCCCAATCATTGGAGATAGAGTTCCGGAGAGTCTCTAGCTTGGCGCTCCCCTGCAATTCTTAGCCATTTCAGTACGGTGCGAGTTTATGGGTCGACCCGAGTTGAGTTTGGGTTTCCGGGTCAACCCGAATCCGACTCGATTTATAAACATTTCGGGAAACAGAACTCGAACCCGACCCTTATGGCAAACGGGTTGACCCAAACTCAAAATTGGGTCGGGTTTTGGGTCATGTTAGTTTTTGACACCCCTATATCAAAGCATAAACGACAAAGGAATAGAGCATGTAGTATGAATAACCAAAAGAAGGGAATAATAACCTATATGATTATATCAAAAACTGCCATAAGATATGTTATGTTTTCTACAACATAATTTAATATGAATGAATATATATTAATTAGTTATTGATGCCAACTCACGTTAATATTTACAAATACAATACACTAAGTATATTGTACCTCACAATGACCTGCAAGTCATTTCCAATTTCAAATTTATATCCATTTATATTTTCTTGCATATATATATTATCAGTTTATCATATACTCATTACCGAGAAGGTAAACATCAACCCAAGGAAATCCAAAGATTTTCTGTAGTCGTCACTCTGGGGCTCGTCAATCCCGACTAGCCAAAAATCAATAGAGTTCTACCAATATACATAAAATCATACAAGACATATTTTTTATGAATAACCAACAAATATTATAATCAACATGTCAGGTATGATGTATATAATTGCTATGATTTATAGAAATGTGATTAATTTTATTTAATAATAGCCAAATTTCATAAATTTAACTTTTCCAACAAGTAAATTTTGATTTGCATGAATAAGAAATAATGAGCAATAAATCAATGTAAAATTATGGTTATCGCATGCTGATTCGTTATGAAAAACAACAAAGATTTACTACATGTGATTATGCGCGCTAAATAAGGGTGTGGGCTCCAAAAATTCAGCCCCAGCCTCCCCGTCGCGCGACTGTTGATTTTTGATTTGGGGAGGGGAGTTTTAACAAAATTAAGTTCCCTCTCTCTCTCTCTCTCTCTCTCTCTCTCTCTCGTTGGAGTCGGCACGGACAGGAATTTTGATCGCAAGGTTGACGGGATCCAGGCGGCTAGGACGTCGGATGAGGGCTCCAGCTGCGTCGGATTGGACAAAGTGATCGGAGGCAGCTGCTGTGGGAGAGGAGGTCGGGAGTTGAGTATCGTGGATTTCGGGAGAAGCAGAGAGAGCGGGAGAGGAGAGGTAGCGAACGAAAGAAGAGGGGTTCTGGGTCGGTATTTAACGACGTCTGGGGTCGTTCGATCGAGGCGAGTCGCTGTTTTTGAGCAGAAATCGCGGAACGACGCCGAATGCGCAGTGGTATCGCGGGATTTGCGGGATTAGAAGTGCCTCGACGGGATTTCTGCCGGCATTCATGGATCCAACAGGTATTATTATGTTTCATTTTTGGAATTAAACAGAGGTTAACATCTTTATCCGTGTCACTCCTAAGATGAGGTACATATTTCTTTTATTTGGGAATGGTCAAAGCTTTGGGAAGAGTTGGCATTGCCTTCTTTCTCCCCACCTGCTTCTTCTCACCTTCCTGTTCAGGTCGCTTTGCAATCTTCGAGTTTGATGCATTAGCTTCGAGGGAGCTTGAAAACTTTTGCTTTTTTGGCATGAAGTACTGTGCATCTTCATAAACTGTTGCTTCATGAATTGTAAAAGGCTGAATGTCACCAGAGATCCTGAATTCTTCTCCATTTCTGAGATATTTCATACACTGGTGTAATGTTGACGGGACAACACCATATTCATGCAACCAAGAACGACCTAGTAGCGCCTTAAATGAAGTATCCGCATCAATCACATGGAATTTAGCTTCTGTGTGGAGCACTCTAAATACAAGAGGGAGCATGAATGATCCAAGGGTTTTCTGCCCTTTCTCATTGAAACTATGTACCATCAGCTTATCTGACCCGAGGTGCTCTACATCAAGGCAGAGGGATCTCAGTGCTTTCAAGCTCATCAAATTTATGGAGAATCCGGGATCGATCAGGATTCGACTGATGATCAGCTTATCGCTCTCTGCAGTAACATACAGAGGACGGTTATGGTCTGCAGTCCCAAACAGCATGTCTTCTTCGGAGAAAGTAATGAATGGCTCATTACGAGCTTGTAGAACCTCAGTCAAATTACTTTCAGTAAAATACGCCTTGTATCTTTCAGGATCTTTAAGAGCCTGAATTAGAGTCTCCCGAAGGTCTTTAGACATTACCAAAGCATCGTATATGCTGAGTTGTGCAGGTATCTTCCTCAAATGAGATAAGATATTATAATCTATCCCCCAGTACAAATTGTTCTTTTTCTTGGGATCTTTAGGGGCAATATCATCATTGATGACTATTTCTTTCTTCTTATCTTTATTGGAGACCCCTCTCTTCAGTGGAGGCGGTAGTATCTTACCACTTCTTAACTGCACTTGAGCAATCTCCTCCGGTTCATAGTCATTTAACTGCACATTGTCTTCTGAATCAGCCATCATTGCGTCTAGGGACTCGTCTGTTGATTCAGAATCACCACCTAGGTTTACATGTCCCATCCGTGATGCTATGCCAGGGTCTGATTCATCTTCCTATGGAAAATACAAATCCTCCTCCGAACTGTAATCCATTGGCAACACCATCATACAGAATTCAGAGGGTACCTCTTCAGTATATTCTTCTTTTGTCAATATACTCGGTGCCACCGAGATGACCCGACATACTTCTGTTAGAAGAGAATTCTCATCATCTTCTTCGGCTTCATCTATTTTAAGCTCCACCATGAAGTTAGTGAGCTTGATAGGTCGCCTCACAGTCTAGTAATATTCATCCAAACTGTCAATAACCCTTTGAGTCGCAGTCTTTTTCTCCTTGGGCTTCTTCAGTTTGATCTTTTTCTTGGTTGATTTTACTTTTTCGGGCTTTGAGGAACCAACTTGGTTGATAAATTGTTTAGAAGTAGAAGGTCGTACCACTGGCAATGCCTTCAAATCTATCATTGGCTCAATAGGTGACTTTCACTTTACGCTTGGAACTCCTTCAAATTGCTTCAACATTTTCACAGTCTTTCTGGAGATCGCAGTCTCCCATTGTTCTTCTTGAACTGGCTTCTTTTCGTTTCTTCTTTTTTCAGTCGGGGGTACGGAAGTGGACATGACCACCCGAGTTGATTCTTTTCTTGGATGAGTCAATACATTATCTGATGGTGTGATCTCTCCCTTCTGATATTTTCTTTCAAGTCAATCCTTAAAAACATAACAATCTTCAATAGGATGGCTGACTACCTGATGGTATGGGCAGTAATTTTGGGTCACCAGGGTGCTTCGACTCTTCGGGTCTCTTGCATTTAGGCAGTTCTAAGCCCGCTTTCAACACCTGTCAAAATAATTTGGCGACACTCTCCCTTTTGAATGAATATTCTTTGTTCATTTTATCTTTGAGGGATTGAAACGTCCTATCACCAATTCCTGTTATTTACCTCGGGCGTTATCCACCAACCTAGTAAGTTCGTGGCTTGTCATTACCTCCGAGTATCAACTTTGGTTGTGGGTTAGGGTTGTAGACTTGTTTGAGCTTTTTTTTATACTGCATTGGCTGCTTGTCCTTGTCTACGTTATAAATCACCTGCCTTTCTCTATCAGCTATAGAGAAAAACGTAGAGTCGGCCTCACCCCTTCTATCACCCGGGGCTTTAACCTTCTTGGGCTTATCAGAATGACTTTCTGATTTAGACAAGTTCAGTTTCTCAAACTTGGCCACTCTGTCTAGCAAGTCTTGAAATGTGTTAATTGTAGCCATGCACAGGAAGGGTTACATCTTGTCATCAATATTGCCCATTAACAACTGTACGGCATGCTCTTCTTCAAGCTGCTGCTCACATTTCATGCTCAAATTTCGCCAACAAGTGATATATTTCATCACCGACTCTTCTCTTTTTCTCTTCTCCAGAGCAAGGTCAGTGATCGTGATCTTTTCCGTTGCACTGGCGAATCTCTTCACGAACATAGTTTCCAATTCTGTGAAGGTCTTCATAGAATCATTTAGCAATTCAGCATACTATTCAAAAGCAGTTGCTGTTAAACTACTAATGAACTATCGGAAGAGTAGGACATCGTTGCCTCCTGTATTCCCACAAGTGGTTTTAAACTGTGCTAGGTGTTGTCTGGGGTTGTTAGTACCATTGAAAGTATTGAACTTTGGTACATAATACCCTTTTGAGTACGGTACTTGATCGTATTCAACATAGTACGGACGACCTTTGCCCACTAACTTCTCCGCCTGATCAACGGCTATGATAGCCTTGATCTTCTTGGTAATAATTCCTTCCAACTGAGCAGCACTGATAGGTTCAGAAGTACTTACAACATTTTGTGGGGTGGGCTGGCGGACGACATTATGGGCTTCGCAACCACCTTGAGGAGCTCCCTGTACTCCTGATCCTTGTGGCACTTGGAAGTTTGGAGGATCTAGAGGAGGATTGGGCATGGGACCGATGGCAGCAGTTCTCTGCATCATCCGCATCATTACCCCCATCTGAGCCATTATTTCAGTTATCTTATCATTCAACTGAGAGATTTTCCTGTCTTTGGCTCTCATTTGTCGCCTCATCTGCCTTCTTATGTTGGCGAGTGTGGCATTTTCATCATCTAGAGGATTTTCCTCTAATTCCTCCACTTCCTCTTCTTCTTGGGAATGACCACCTCTTCCAGTGGTGGACCCCTCTCTACGACGAAGACGGTATACTTGCCTGGGTGGCGGTTGCCAACGCTCTTCATCTTCATCGTTATCATAATTGGCACCATCATCAATGTCTATATGTGTCACCATATAGACCACTTCCATATCCAATGTGTTATTTATTTATTGCATTTCTTCTTCTAGATTTTCCTCCAGAAATTCATCAATACTTTCTTCCATATCTTCTTCAATGTTGTCTTCTATATTTTCTTCTCCTTCAAGGTATTCTTCTTCTTCTCTCCGAGCGGCGACGCCATTGGATCTCCGGCTCTTGATTAGGCAAGGGGACTTCTTCGATCAGTGGGCTGCGGTCGAAGTTAGTCTTTTCCTTTGGAGGGGATGGAGAATGACGGGATCCCCTGGAGGATTCTTCAAGGTGTCTACCGTCGGGAGGGACGTCATCATAGGCCTTCTTTGGGACCCATCTCTGACGTTGTTTGTAAATTGGGGCGGATCTCCGGGAAGCCTCACCAGATGTCACGCCCAGATCAGTCCTCCTTTCTCTTCTATCTTCCTTCTCATTTCTTCGAGGCTTTGGCCTCCAGACTTGCTTTCCTCTCCACCGAGACCTTTCGGCGGTGGATCCTTGAACATATGGTTCAGGTGTCACACCCCGATGTTCACCGCGCGGGATTTGTTTTCTTTCTCTTCTTTCTGCAGTAAAGGACATACGCTCCCTTGACGGGGTTCTCCTGGTCTTCATCACCAAAGGCCGTTGGAACTTCTTTTTCTTCAGACCCTTCTCTTTCACGGTCTTCAGGACTCGGTATACCTGAGCTGATAGAGTCTTAGGTTCATTTCTTTTTGGAGGGGCTGGGACCTCACGTCATTGCTCCCAGAATGACTTCTTCAGCTCACCAGTGGAGCTATTTTTCTTCACCCATTTTAAATCAGAAAACTTATTCTAGGTAGGAACATTGGCTTCAGGCTATTGAGCAAACAACTTGGATGGATGGACCGGGAGTTGCTGTTGCTGAGCTCGAAGTTCAGTGTTCATCTTTCTCCTCTGCCTTCTTGTTAGTCTTCCTCCAGATGAAGAGGCCTCAGCATCATTCTTCCTGGGTGCAGATAACCTGGTCGGCAAAGTGGTGGTGTTTGCAGTCACCACGGAGACTCTTCCACCATTCACAATTCTCCTGGTGGTTAGGGCTTCAGGCTGTGATAGCCTCTCGAATACAGAAATCCTCTTACGAGGATTTTCAATAGTAGGTCGTGGCGCTGGCAGATGCGCACAACGGACAGGAGCTTCATCAGTATTGAGTTTTCTGGCAGACTTCTTAGTATTCCTACCATTCGCAGGAATGGAGGCACTCCTTGCAGCAATCGCTGGGAAGTCAATGCTACCAAACTAGATGGTAGCTCCGGCATTTCCGGTCTCAATAACAGTATTTGCCAGCTGAATCCTGGCTCCTCGTCCCAACTGGACGGTCATTGGGGTGTTCTATAGATCTATATGCATAGATGAAAGGTAGGGTTAGTAATCAGAATCTGATACATCACCCCACACTTTCAAAATGCATAGACTTGCACATAACACAAAAACAGAAATAGATAACATTAGCGAGCAATTCAAATAATATAAATCTAGAATACTGCTAAATACGTTATCTCAATAAAAATTTTTGAACGATCATTTTTAGGGTGCTTAAAATTTTAAGTACGGATCAATACGGATGCTACTAATGCTTTCCTACTGCTTTTTAAAGTAATTTTTTTAGTACAAGGAGAGGCCAAAAAACATAGACTCTAATACCAATTTTTAGGAGTGTGAAACCAAAGGGGATCAAAGTTGAGTATGATACATGAGTATTTAAATCTTTATCCAACCAAAAACTAAGTCTTAAAAAGTGAAGGACAACCTCCTAATATTTGCACTCAATTATCTGATATGGGAAAAACTCTTTACTCTCATTTACCTTAATAATTCTGCTGGTTCTATGATATTCAATTTATGCTTTGTATTTGTATTTTTTATAGATATGCACAAACTTAAATAAAATGTTGCACTTAAAATACAAATGTAATATAGAATTTTCATATTTCTTCTTAAACTTTTATAAATTCAGACAGATCTTTAGTTGAAATCCATAAGAATGGAAATCTGACAACCATGTTGTATAGCAGACACAATTGACAGAGTTAGATTCTTTCTAGATAGTAACAATCCCCACTTCTTGCGTGTTTTATTAAATATCTTCTATCACATTATGATTCATAAGATCTAGAAAACATATTAAGGCTTCGTTGGGATAGCTTTCTCATTAATTCTTAAAGCAATTTTTTAGTACTAGAAAGTTGCTTTAAGAAGCAATAAAAAAGCCGTCCCAAACAAAGCCTAAGATTTCATTTGGAACAGCTTTCTTATTACTTTATGAAGTATAAAATTTTTGTATGAAGAAACTGCTACAAAAACTGTCCCAAATGAAGCCTTAATATCCAAAACTGATAATGAGTATTAATTGATAAATGCAGGTGTGATGGCACAGCTATTTGGAGTTGGGCAGGAGGAAAGCTCTGTTATATTCTTATGGATATACTTGGTTGCTGCCTTAGCACTCACCGTTTGGTCAACAGTCTTTATGTACATCTTAACATAGTTGAAAAATGGAGCTTGCTTGCTGAAGAAATATTTATTATCGGCAGATTTTTGAGTTATATGAATGCGGTTGAAAGACCAAGATGGCAGAAACTTGACAGCAGCATTGTGTTCTGAATTTCTTTGAAAGAATTTTGGTGAATGAAAACATAAGAGCTTTTATATAATTTGAACATCTTGAGATACTATTCACCAAGATGAAAAATATTTGTTTGTGTTGTATGATAGATCTGTTAGAGTTTTTGTGATCCAACTTAATTCTTTTTATATATTTTCTATTATAGTTTTATATAAGTGGATTTTTCTTTAATTTCTTATATGGATTATATTGCTATTGATGTAGCCATTTGTCTCTATATATATAGACACTATAGACTGTAATAGTATGCATGGTCAATCAATAAAGAATCTGGTTCAGCTCTTATCCGCATCTAGCTTATGGTGCATTTGTTCCCATCGAAGATTTTTTTCTGAAGTACTCAATCTAAGCATCCAATTGATAAATATATTATAATGGTGGAAATTTGCTCTGAGGTGTATCATGTTAGTTATTTATTATTTAAGAAGCTCCTGTAATATCTTTTTCCCCTCCATTTAATTTATAGAGTAGTTCCAGCTTCATCATATAAAAGAAAAAAAAAATCAACAATTAAATAATAAGAATTGAATCCATGAGTTTTTGCAATCTTATGTACATCAAAACTGCAATAGATTCTTATTGAACTGAAACCAAATGAAAATTTCCTTTAACCATTAAGATAGGAGATTAAGAAAAACTGTGGACCAAGCAGTGAGAGCTAATGCAGAAAGCAAATACATCCATAAGAAAATCACAGAGCTCTCCTCCAGTCCTACACCAAATAGCTGAGCCATCACACCTGTATGAATCAACCATTATTTTTTTCTTTTTAAGGCAATGATTTTTACTATATTCTATAATGTTCATTTCTCATAAATTGGTAAAAAGCATAACGTAAAATTTATGGATTACATACCAATAGCCACAGCAGGAGGAAGAGTGAACTGTGTGAGCAGAACATAGCTAAACAAAGGGTCTTTAGGAAGGAAACCAAAGGAGCTGGCAGCCTTAACAACAAAAATCCCTGAAATTGGAAGTGCTATATATCTCACTAAAGCAATTGCCACTATTGCTGAAGGCTTCACTGCTGTTTTTCCAATACCTGTTTGTGCTCAGATAGTATGGTTGATAGTTCTTGTCAAAATTCATTCAATGCAGATCTTGAGAATTTTGCCTGAAAGTAGGAAGTGAGAAGCTTACCTCTAGTAAGATTTCCTCCAAGAATAAGAGTAGTACAAGGAACTGTGCCATTTCTGTAAGAAAATGATTAAAAACTGTAACTTTTACATATTGAGAATTAAACCAAATCCCATACTTTATGACCAAAATGTTCTGCAAAAAATTAGAGCAAACTCTTACCCCAGCAGTTCTAGTGTGTTCTGAATCACTTTAAGAGGAGCATTGCTTCCAATTATGACTGATTTAAGCCATGGTATTGCACCCACTGCAAAGCCAGTAATCTGTAACACAACAGGATTTCTAATTTATAACTAGCTTATTCTGATTGAAAGCTTCTATTGTGGTATACGAAAAAGATTACCGCAGCAACTGTTGGTGGTTCAACTAATTCTTCTGCGAGTTCATGAAAAGTTCCTATGACCATCTTCCAGATATGCTCTCCAGGCTTCATCTTTCTGTTGGCTAATAGTGATTGCCTCTGTAATTAGATTTTGACGACTTATAAAACTTGATATGTTGTATAAATTTGTATGGGTTACTTATGTTTTATTTTGGCTGAGAGTAAAAGAGGGGAAAAAAAATAATGAGTACACGGTTCAAAACATGAATGAATGAGCTTTGGCTACACATGGATGTGACTGTTCATGAATAGATGTCATCATCAATTACGGGAATGGATGGTGCACATCCAAAGTAATTTTATAAAGAATGTTTTATATTAGTCAAATAATTTAAAGAAACTTAATGCATCCCCTCTTCATTGTGTCAGAACATTCAATTTTATCCTTTCCAATTTAACTTAATCCCTTACAGTGTCTGGCCTGATATAGATTTTACTAACTCAAATATTTTCAAGGTTTACTTGAGTCCCAAGGCCCTTGATAGAAAGATTAATTTTTAGTTTTGAGTTGACATTAAGGTTTTGTTTATGACGCCTTTCTTACTGTTTCTTAAACAACTTTTTAGTATAAAATTTTTTAATTTTTAACTAAAAAGATGCTTTAAGAAACAACAAAAAAGTTGTCTCAAACAAAGCCTAAATTTACTAATCCTTGACCCTTGTTATCGAGTTTATTGGAGAGGTGACATGCTAAAAAAATTTGACTTCCAGGAAATAAAATACTATGGGAGATCTAACCCTTGTAGGGCTTAGAACCTTAATCCTTTTCCCAAGAAGCTTATACAATTGTTCGTTCATTCAGGCCTATAGCAGTTTGGCTTGCACTAGCAGTGCATTCAATTGTTGTTTAACACATTCTACTAGAATAAGGTTGATGATAAATCTAGCTCAAGAAGTAATTGATAAGATAAAAATTGTTATATTATTTGTCTATGATCATGTTATTTTGTGGTTGTAAATAATCTGTGTTTTGTGCAAAAAAATTTATAAAAAAGCAAGAAAAGTGATCCAGTGCCGCAGTGCCAGACCTTCATGTCCGCAATGGAAACTTGCCAAAAATTGGTTAGAGAACTTATTGCTGAGGCCCTACCCACCAAGCACCACAACACCAAATTATCCAGCACCACAGCAAAGAACGGTTGGACTGGTGAACCAAAGAGAATGTTGGTGAACCAACGCACCAGTTCTGTAGCGCCACAATGCTAGTTCAAAGAAAAATGAAAAAAAAAAAACTAAAAATAGTTCCCCAATTCCTTATGAAAAAAGGTTAGTCATTTAGAAGAGTCTTGTGTAGTGTCATTTTGAAAGAGTTTGTGAGTGGTATAGTGGAGTGTGTAACTTGTGTTTATTGTATCTGAGTCCTGTATTAAAGTGGAGTAAAGCAAGAAGGGAGCAAAGGCTTGTAGCATTTATTCAGGGTCATTTTTGAACTTTACTTCTTGTGTTCTAATTTGTACTTGAAGTTTGTATTTATTAACAAGTTAGTATAATAAAATGCTTGTGATGGTTATTGTGTTTATTATGAGTTTCAACACCTCCATGTGTAGCTATTCAACTATTATGAATCTATGATGAATTAAAAGGCATGCATTCTTTAGAGTACGGTTTGGTATTTAATATTTCCACACTATTTTTATTTCTTCTGAACTTAAGTTAATTTATGTATAGGCCTTGCATAAATTCAAATATAGTGTGATCTTGAGTGTCGATAGATGGACTAGAAGAATAATTAGAGAACTTAGAATATAATTTGTCCATGCATAGATATATGATGATTAAGATTATGGGGTCTTAAGGTTTAGTTAAGGATATAGTTTAACTAGAGTTAGTAAAGATTTGAGATTTAGCTTATGTTCCGACGAGCTCAACAGAGACGAGGAATACAATTACTCTAATTCACAACAACCATAAGAATTAACCTCCTCTAATGCAATCAAGTTCCTTTTAAGGATTTAGAGGTTCAGAACTTTATAAAAATTTTAAAACTTTTGTTTTACATTTTGAAGATTTTGTTTTACAACTGCAACACATTGTCTATTAACACAATAGATAAACATAATAGTCCAATAAGTAGTAGTAAAGTGAGCATAGGATATTCACAGTGTTTCCTCATGGATCAACACCCTATTCATCATTGTACTTGATGCACTTGCATTTTATAAGATTTACACAATAGAAAACCTGAACTTTCCATGAAATATGATTAATGACTATAAATATAAGTGAATTCAATGCGCCATAAATACTTAAGATAGCCTTGACTATCTTATCAACCTAAACTCATGCTTTTGAATCTTCTCCTCACTCTATGAAAAGAAGGATGACATAGACCGAGCTTTCCCTGCTTGTGCACTAGTACATCCATTATTCTAATTCTTGAGGAGTCATAGAGGCATCCATGAGGGAGGCGTTAAATAATCAACCTTTTGAGTTTTCATTAAGACATTTTTGCTCCTTTAAATATGTTCCTCACCTAATGAAATATGAATAAGAACCTTTGATAGGCCATAAATAAGTTAGAACTAGTTTTAGCTATTTTAGCTCTAATTTAAGTTGCTCTGGTTTCAAGATAGCCTTCTCAGCCCGACTATCTTATAGAGGGCACTATGTTTTTCTAGCAAGTTGATTGTCTCTGTACACCAAAAGCGAAGGTTAAAAAGATATTACTCACATTATTGTAGCTCCTTATTTTATCAAATCCCATCCTCACAGAATGACTCTTAATGAAATTTCTTAGATCTATACCTAAATGATTAGAAGTAACATCCACTCTACATGTTTTAATTTATAGGTCAATGAGTGTAAGCTCATTTAAGAGATAATGATTTTTGCATCTTTGAGTATTTAGGATTGTGCAATACAATAGCTCGAGTGGTTTCAATAATCCAAGGGAGGTTCTAATAATCAAAGTGCTAGGTCAAAGATGTTTTTATGGGAGTGACTTATAAAAAATAATAGAAATCCTTAGTAGGAGTAATCTATGAAGGAAATTTTTTTGATGATTTATTTAAAGACGCTTAGACACTTGTAATATGTCCAAGTGTCAAGAGATGCAATCTAATCAAAAGGGCTTGACTAGGGAGGAGGAAGATAAGCTTGGTCAACAAAGCATGACTATACTAGATGAGAATCAACCAAAAAAGTATGACTATGAAAAAGATAGCCTAAAGAGCTAGACTAGGAATGTAGTATAGACAGAAGAGTATAACCAGGAAAGCCAAAATAAATTGGCTATTCTAGATAAGACATAGCCTAATGAGTTAGACCAGAAATGTTGTAGTGTGATCAGAAGAAAATGACTATTCCTTAAAAGAATTTAGTCAAAAGAGTATGACTAGGAAATGATAGCATAGTCAAAAGAGTATAACTATATAGTTAATTAGGAATAAATTCAGGATGTCATCAAGTAAGGTATCAATGCAAGATAATGTATCAGGATATATAAAAAATGATCACTAGATGTGTCTCAAGGGATTGTGACGTTTATGTTAGATGGACGTAGAGAGAGCTACACAGAGCTAAGGGTAGGCTGTTTTGCAATGTTGTATGAGCAACCTAGAAGGAGTGTATTGAAGTATTAATCAATCTATTGAGAGGAATATAGTGGTCAACACTTTGTGAATTTGTGTAATATTGAACATAGCCTATATAAGTGAAGTCCATGCCTACGCCATTTGGTCTAGAAAATTAAACAAGAGAGATTTATATGTAGGGTGTGTTACACATGATTCTAAAATGACGTAAAAGATGCACGTGCATAATGCAAAGGAATAAGACCATGGGCATATGATGATTTGGGTCTAGTCAATATAGATTAATCTAGGGTTGATATGAATTGACTAGTGCTTCACACAAGCATATATGTAAATATTCTATTCTAAATTTTTGCTCAAAACAAACTAATCCTAATCATATAAAATTTGAATTTGCATATTTAAAATTACTTTAATATAATTTTAAAAAAATCATAATTAACGAATTCATTTGTCCAAAATACTAATAATTCCTTAATATTAAATTTTCTTTAATTAGCATTAAAGGTTTATTTTTAATTTTGAAATTGAAAAATGAATATTAAGAGGATACATATCAAAAGTCAAAGTCAAAGGCCGAGTCCCGATTTTCTTAGCAATAGCATTTGCATCAACAATCTCTAGATTTGCTTTCTCAAGAAAAGAATGCCTCGAAGAAGTCATAGAATTAGGCAATGTGCTATGATTAGTAGCTAGCCTTCTTACTCTTCACATTTGATTCAATCATTATTTTCTTTGGAGGCGCCCGTTGTTGTAATTTAGCTTCTATGTACCCCATTTTCTCAAGAAATATATCCTTCATATTCTTTTTTAGAAGACATGAAAAAAAAAATCATAAGTTGAGTTAGTGTCAAGATTAAAATCATCAAAGCACTTAATCTTAGCCAAGTGGAGCCAAAAGTTGCTTACTAAGGGAAAGGAATAAGATGAATAACAAAATAAATCTTAAAGAGCGTTCATTTGGGTCAGTATTTATAGCCTTTCTTACATTGCTGACATGTGTGTTCATCAGCTCATTAAGATAGAACTTAAAATTTAACTTCTCTTATTCTTTTATGACTACTTCACAGAAATTATGAAATCATGGAACTAAAATACACCCTAAGTCTACTGATAAACCTCGTATAACATGTCACTATCTTTGAACCAAGCCAACATCCCCTCATCTTTTTCAAATGTTTTGAGGGATGATAGTGATATGACATAGTTCATAGTTCATACACAGCTGATTATTATTATTATTATTATTATTTGGTACTCTTTCTTTCATATTGATTAATGCAAATGTAACTTTCAGCATCGAACCAAGCCGGGATTCATTAAGAAGGCTACTTGGCACATTTATTCAGTGCTCAACCTCCATATTTAGCACTAGAAGTTGATTAAATATTTACTCGTCTTGAAGCAATAATTGAGTTTCAAAACAGGGAGTTCTACTTAGCCTTGACATTTACTTCAACACTCTTATGGATTTGGCTAGCTAAGTCGTCAAAATATCGAAAGGTACGTGCCAAGCCTATAATGAATTCACCAAAGACAGCTAAGGAAGTCTCTTGATCAAAGTTTAACTTAGATTTCATCAAGAATTATTCATGTAATTAGACCATTACAAGATAGCTACATTTATTAATTTTTACAAGAAGCACTTGTAAGCCTTTTTATGTAATTTTATTTGTGTTACTTAAATGTAATATCTCTTGGACACACCCTAATTGACTCAAAGTCACATCAATTTGTACTTTCTAATAGCAATCTACTGTAAATCACATTGCTTCTCTCTATATGATATCTTTCTCTCTTCACTTTTTCTTTGTCATTCTTATTATTAAGGTTCTAATGTCAACCACCAAAAAAGTTTAGGATCCAACTCATGGACTCTATAGTTTTCATGAAAAAATCTCTCCTAATGATTCTCATAAATTTCTTTATCTTAATTCTATTTGTCTAAACATGCATGTTTGCTATATGTTCAAAATTGAAAATCGAAATTAACATATTTGATTAAACACAAAGACTATCCACTCACAATTGTTCCATCCGGATTCACATCAATTTGTTTAAATGATGAAGTCAGCTGAGACTCTGGATCATTAATGGCTTCTCCAATCTCAGTAGTAAATGCTGGTTGATCTTCCAAACTTCCACTTGAATACTGTTTAGCCATCTTCTTCACTGATTCTGCTCTAATTAGCTCCTCATATGTAGTTCCATCTCTTTTAATTAGACTGTATGTGTGTGTCCATATGTAGATACTCCCAATCTGGAATATCAATACATCATGTTCTTCTTAAATAAACTGAAATTTTTTTATTTAGAAAAAATGGTTATTACCGCCATTGAAGTTGAAGCATAAGAGAGCCCACGAAGACTGCAAGTGCTCTTATCTCCAAATGGATTTCCATCCTGAAGGCAAACTGCGGGGACTATCATCAACATCAGGTTGCCCAAATTTCCTGTACTAATATATTTAGTGAGTATATAGTTTAGAGAAATAATAACATTTCTATGCAAATTTTTCTTTGATACTTTCATAGAATAGTATCAAGCATTGTTCCAGCATCAAATGGTCCCAATCTTCCTCAAATTTGGACTTGAAATGACTGGAATCACTACAGGAAAATTGTCCATTACCGACAGAATTTCCGATGAAATAATTTCCGGCGGATTTTCTGACGGAAAATAATGTAAAATTTTCGACAGATTTTTTTAGATAGATTTTCCGACGGAGTTTAGGCGGAGTTTCCGACGAATTTTAATAATTTATGAAAAATCTTATATTCGTAATTTAATTTAATTAAAAATTTTAAAGCTTATTTTTATTAATTATTAATTTTTCCGGCGAATTTAAAGATTTAATGACATGTGTTTTACCGTTGAAAAAATTTTCACCGGAAATCCGCCGGAAACTAAGTAATTTTTCGCTGGAAATTCCGCCGGTAATACATGATTTTCCTGTAGTAAATTTCAGTAAATTCAGATTTTAAATAAATTATCACTTGATTGATTTGCTAATATGGCAAGGAATCTTCAAAACAAACTGCTAGGATTAGCATCAGCAGCATAAGTAGCACAATATCAGTGAACTGAGTTGGTTTTTGATGAGCAGAATGCAATAAATAATCCACTCAGTCAAGAAAATTAATCCTTATCACCTTCCTAAAACATTATCAAGCTTTCCATGCTTATTTTATCCACATCAAATGACCCCAACATTTTTTAAATTTTGCACTTGTTTGTTTATATATTAGAATAAATTATCCTTTGGATAATCGTTAGTCTTGTTGGGTTATCCAGAATTAGATAGAATTAGATTTAAGTTCAATTTTTATATTATCTTGTAAATCTTATTCTATAAATTGATTAACTGTGGTTTGTATGAATTTGAGAAGTTGAATGATGAAATGAGGCTTCGTTTGGGACAGATTTAGACAACTATTTTTTCTCTATTTTCAAGAATTTTTTTTACTAAAAAGTAACTTTACAAAGCAACAAATAAATCCGAAGCCTGAATCTTCTTTATATTCTTTCCACATGACATCATTAAATTCTCAAAAAATGAATTCAATAAGTTTCAAACAATATTGTAGACAAAATAAAATTTGAAACTGCTGCATCAAAATGAGTTTAAAAGCTTTTGGATTTACGTTGAGATTAGTGTTTATATATGATATAATGAATTATACTAATCTAAGTACAAATCTGAGGACTCTTAAGCCTATCATGATGCATGTTACGGTAGAATGTTCTTATGTATTTTTCTCCTATTTCAAGTTTGCAAAGAACGAGAAATTCTTTTGTACGGTCACCAGACGTTCTCCAGGGGCAAATCAGGAAGCGCCACACTTTTTTTTTTTGTTGTGTACGGGTATTGTGTACCGCTGTGTACCGGGTAACGTGGCGCCTCCTGATTCGCCTCTAAACCATCCGGTGACTGCACAAAATAATTTCTCGCACATAACATACCAGCTGAACAATTAGCTATGATGAGGCCTTCGAGGTGGCGTGCCGGTTTTAAGATCTTGACGACTATCCAGCCAAGAATTCCTCCAATCAAGAACGTGATTCCAATATTAACAGGCATGTACCACCTTGAGATTATCAATAAAAGAATATCACATTTAATAAATTAAACTTTGAAAGTGAAAATTGAATACAAAACATAAAACAACAGAACATCAAGCTAGTTACCAAGAAAGGAGTTCTTCAAGAGTAACAGTTTTAGCCAGGGAGGAGAATACGAGCGAGGGAAAAAATACTGCAAATACAATCTATTGGAAGATAGAAAGAAGAAAAATTACAGAGAAAACTTAGCAAGAATAGTTTCTACTGTAAATTGAATTATAAGAGTTGAAGACTAGTACTCTTCTGTTGATGTTTACCTTATTCAAGTTTCGTCTAACATTATCTGAAAATATTGAACTACATCGATATGCAAGAAAGGCTCCAAGGAGACCTATCAGCAGAAGTTGCAGAACTGGCATGCTTGCCACCACTAGTAAATTCAAGAAGTCCATCTTCTTTTACAACTTCTTACTCTTTCTATGTGGTTTTCTATGAATCTTATAGCTTTTAATGAAGTTCCTTCAGGAATAAGCAAAGCCTTATACATAAATCATTCACAACATTTAAAAATAACATGCCAGAAAAAGTTTTTTTTTTTTTTTTGGAACGGGGTATCTAACTGTTGTCACCCTCTTAGGAGGTGCTTGGCGGCGTAACTAATCCCTCGGCGAGCCTACCAGCAACTAGCGTCACAGGTGTAGGACCTGCAGTTATTTTCTCCCCACGTAAGAGGTCGTGCTACATGAGAGAGGAATTAAATATGAGTTGAGAGGTTCCCAACTATAAAAAGACATTATTGTGCTATTGATTTTTACTGAATTTAGAGCTGATTTTGTCCCTTAGATTCTGCAAATTGATGACTTTCTATTGTTTAATAGCAATCATTGTGTTATGATGTATGCAATGACATGATGTAATAAGAATAAAAATATGTTTATTTAGGACTGAAAAGAACCCTTTAGTACTGAATTGAGTGCTGATAAATTTTTTAATAATTTAGTTTCAGCAAATTGAGATTTTTTTTGGTTCATAACAATCATTGTGTTATGCTATTGATGATTGTGTTCCTTCTGTTCTTCAATTTGAAAATTTTAGGAGCTATTTGGGATCATTTTTATTTTTTATTTTTTATTTTTTTACTTATTTTATTTATTTATTTTAATTTGAAATAAAAATATATTTTGATTTTTATTGAATATTGGACAAATTAATTTATTTGATGATGATGGGGCCACCGGCAAAACAATGACGGCCGGAGATGGCGGCTAAAGGTGGTGGCCAAAGGTGTAGATTAGTGGTGGCTGCCAAACGAAGGTCGATAATTAGTATAACTCTGAACATTTATACTTATGCCTTAGCTTCTAATTAGCAAGAGATTAATAAACTTAAGCTTTTTATGCGAACTAAAAGGAAAGATATTTATAGCTTTATGGTATCAGTATGATTTGCTCAGTCAATTATCAACATGCATGTATTACAAGCTACAAATTTATTGTTTTTCTTGTAGGAACAAAGACCCTTAGCTTCAAACTATAAATATGGGATCAAAGGGAAGTTCTGCTCCAAATATTATATAGACTACGTTTCTTTCAAAAAAAAAAAAAAATCCTCTGATATTTATTGCCAAGTTCATAAAAGGAAATTCAAAATAGGTTAGCTTACTGCACATCAAATATAAGAATCCAATAAGTCATGGAAAGAACTAAGCTTTGAAAGCATTTTACATGTTTCCTGACACAAGCTTTTCCCCATATGCTAGAAGAACTTTAAGTAAATATAATGGTTCGGCATAAATAACACACTCTCTTGCAATCAGAACATAAAAGGAGGAGAATCGAGAACAAATCCTCACCTTAAATTACAGTGGAAATTTTAAATGAAACTGGTTGAGATATCCTTAATAAGGATCATATTTCGCTACGATAGCCACCAGAACCAAAATAATCCCTTCTTGAACCAGCAATGGCCATAGTCTTCTGATGCTCCAGTTTAGGACAATCACGTATCCTATGTCCCAGCCCACCACAATAAGCACATCCTTTAACCCCACTAGCATCAGCAAGAGCTTCACTATGTTCCATTGGATCATTCAGTTCTGCTAAAACAGGTGGAATTCTTTGCTTTGCTTCTTGCAACAAGTGCTTTAAATCAAGAAGGGTGGTTTCACTCTGGTTCTTGTTTATGAATGTCGTCGCAATGCCGGTTTTTCCGCACCTGCCGGTTCTTCCAATCCGGTGAACGTAGTTCTCAATCTCGGCGGGCATGTCGTAGTTTATCACATGCTGGATGTCAGGAAAATCAAGGCCCTTCGACGCAACATCAGTGGCTACTAACACATCCTTCTTTCCTGATTTGAATGATGCAATCGCATACTCTCTTTCTTCCTGATCTTTTCCGCCGTGAATAGCAACTGCTTCAACTCCCTTTAGAAGAAGATATTCATGGATGTCATCCACATCTGCCTTGTTTTCGCAGAAGATAAGGACGGGAGGGGGAGTCTTTTGGAGACATTCAAGGAGGTAGACAATTTTAGCCTCCTGCTTCACATATTCGACTTCCTGTATCACATCAAGATTAGCAGCTCCAGCTCTTCCAACGTTGACAGTGACGGGTTTTACCAAGGCACTCCTTGCGAAGTTCTGAATCTTCTTAGGCATAGTGGCGGAAAAGAGTAGGGTCTGCCTCTGGTCTTTGAAATGATCAAATACCTCCCTTATGTCATCCTCAAAGCCCAAATCAACCAGCCTATCAGCCTCATCCAATGTCAAATACCTATAGTATAAGCTGGTTTAATAAGAGATGGATATAATAATAATGGCCACTTTTTTTCATGACACATGCAAGACTAAATGATATAAATCAATACAGTGTAGCTAAGCTTCAGAAAATCAACTCAATGAATAGCCATATATCAAGCGAAGAGAATGTAAAAGGATGGTTGCCTAATCCATAACCAAAGAACAAAAGAATTGAATACAATCTTTCAGAGTAATAGAATCATTTCTCCTTATTTATGTTTCAACCACCGGCAAAAATTTGCTTTTCAAGCAGGATGATACATCAACTATCCTAACAAAGTAATTGGAAAGCCAGTGTTTTATGTTGTCAAACCATCTAAGGCAACTCTCTCTATTCTTATCTGTCAGTAGAGCTACTCCAAGTTTTTCAAGCATATTTTCATTTTGCATTTTATCTCTAAGTGTAAAACCACTCATTCACCCAAGCATATCCTCATCTCTGAAACACTTAGTTTTATACTTCTCTTTTAATGGCCAACATTTTGAACTATAAAGAATTGCATGTCTCACCACCATCTTATAAAAATTTTCCTTATGTTTGAGGGTACTTTTCTATCACGTAATAGACCCGATGCAATCCTCCACTTCAACCATCCAATTTGAATTCTACTAATAATGTCATCATCTATTTAACCATCACTTTGAACAATAGACTCAAGATATCCTCCACTTCAACCCATCCCATATCAATAAGACATGAAAAAAAATGATTGTCCCAATAAACCCAAGCCTTCATTCTGTCAATACTATATATATGTATAAGCATATAAGTTATGAGCATGTTTTTGAGTTATCTGCAATGTCATAGAGTGGCAACAAAGCATTATCATGCAATTGGTTTGTCAAATGCTTCATTGTTAACACTAAAACCTTTGCCAATAGGCCTTTTAATCTTTGATTTCATCTGGCTAGATCAATAACTCTTTATCCATTCCTATCGATTGAAATTATGAGCATATAATCTAACCTCAACTAGGCAATCATTAGTTTAAGTACTACACCTTTGAAATAAGTTTTTTTCTTTCTTTCTTTTAGGAATGTAATGTATGATGCTTAATTTTTGCCTTCATATTCAATAACCAGATTAATCATTGTGACAATTTCATTTTTGCAAAAAGATCCAATTTTTTTAACAAAAGAAAGTCTTTCTTATTAGGATAATTAGATATCCAGTGGTAGAAGCTGAGTAATTATAAGTGCAACTAAAGTTTCTAACCTCATTCTTAAGAGTTAGCAAGATTAAACTTGAAATCAGAAATACCCTAACGTCTCCTCAAACAAGCCAGTAAATAAATTAGTAAAATGCATCAAGAATATCCAAATACTCAAAATTTGAGAAAGAAAGATTCTAAAACCTGCAGTTGTCCAGATTCATCTTCTTCTTTGCCAACAAATCCTTAAGCCTCCCAGGTGTTGCAACAACAATATGAACCCCTTTCTTCACGACCTCGAGCTGCGACCTCATGTCGACTCCTCCAATGCATAGCAGTGGCCTGAGATCTGGGTATCCAGCCTCCCGGAGTGGCACAAGAAACTGCTCCACCACCTCAAACGTTTGTCTTGCAAGCTCCCTGGACGGGCACACAATAAGCCCAAAAGGCCCTTCCCCAGGCACAATCGGCATCATCAGCTCCTCCTGCAGTGCCACCATGATCAACGGAAGCACAAATACAAGAGTCTTCCCTGATCCAGTAAATGCAATCCCTATCATATCCCGGCCTGAGAGGATCAACGGCAAGCCCTGCACTTGGATTGGGGTTGGCTGAACAATACCTTTGTCCTTTAGCTTCTTCAAAATAGGCTCAGGAAGCCTCATATCCTTGAAGTTCTTGATAGGTGGTGGGACATCATCACCCTCCACGAGGATGTGCCACTGGCGGCGGATGGCATCAGCCTGGCGGGCAGACATGCGGCGAATTGCAGTGGGAGGTTTCCAGCCAGTGGGAAGAGGATCAGTATAGGTGATGCCCTTGGCAAGTTCACGAACTGACATAAGGGTTTTTCGATCAGAGAGGTGCTCAATCATTTCCTTCTCTTGCTGAACGAGCTGCTCTGCGGGGCTGATCTCAGGGAGGTCTCGCTTGAGTTGAGAAGCCTTGACAAGAAGACTAGGCTTAGATTCCGGCAGGGGGAGCGAGGTGGTGGGATCATCAGAGGAAGAGGGAGCACCACCCGCGGATGAAGAGAAGGAGAGACGACCCTTGCGCTGTAGGATCTTCTGTGCCTCCATAGCGCGGCGCTTCTTCACTGGTATGTATTCCACGAAGCCATCATCCTCGACGGCATCGCCTGAGGCGACAACTTGGGCGGTCGGTGCGAAGGCAGTAGCCATGGTTAGGGCAAAGACCAGAGGAGGTAGACCCTTGAAAGAGTATCGTTATCCGTCCCTATTTCTCCCACGAACTCACGAGACGCTTAGCGGCTGTGTGGATGCAGGATTTAGGCCGAGCGAATTTGAGCTACATTAAGCCAAACAGTCAAAAAAGTAAAATCAAATCTCACGGTAAATCAAAGCCGCGGTTGACGGAAAATTCCCTCTTTTCGTGGTAAACCCCAGATTTACGAAATCATAGGGGCTGTTTGGTATCGGATTTACAGCGGGATTTAAGACGGATTTACGCTAAAACCAGCCAAACGGTTTTGGTGCGCGCATTAAATCCCGGCGATGGGTAAATCCCGGATTTAAGGATTTACGGCTTAAATCCCGAATTTACTAAATCCCTCGGTTCATCGGATTTATGGGATTTGGCCGAAGAAGCGCGCGAAAGATAGAAAGTTACCTTCGCAGCCAGCGAGCTCCGGTTTTTGCTTCCTATCAAAATGTCGTAACTTCCGATCCGACAAGACGGAAAAGTCGTCGAAGGAGCAAAGTCCAACAGCCGACGAAGCGACGCGTGCAATCTCTACACCTCCAGCGAAGCAAACGAAGCAGAACAGCACCAACGAAAAGAGAAGATGAGGGCAAAACCTAGACGCTCTAAGTTATTATTGATTAACTTAATTAATATAATTTAAATATTAATAATTAAGTAAATTAATTAATTAATTAATAATATAATTAGTAATTAAAAATTATATAATACGCTTAATTAATATAACTTAAAATATATTTTATTAAATATATAAACAATAGTAAATAATAATTAATGAGAAATTCCTACTTAACATGTTATTAAATTCATAACACATTTTATTTTTAATTATAATTAATTATTATTTATTTATAATTATCATCTTCATATTTAAATATATAACCAAGGTCTAATGCACATTGTTGAATGTTGAAACAAAAAACAACTAGTTCTTTAGTCCCACATCACTTAGGAATTCTAATTTGTGTTGTTTATATAACTTTCCTTGTACTCATGCTTTAAGAGCTTTCATGGTATTATGGCATCATGTGAGCTTGGTTATTTAATTATATTTAATTTACTATATAATATAATAAAATTTTTAAATCATATTATTAAATAAGATATATGATATTTAAATTAATTTAATATTAATTAAACATTTTATATAAAAATAAAATATTTAAATATATTATTAGTTGAACTGGCCGGTTCTTAAAAAACGGGCCGGTTCAACAACCGACGATTCAAGCCGGTTTTGGCCGGTTCATTGTTAACCCGATTCTTAGATAGGACCGAACCGGCTGTAAGACCGGTTCACGGTTGAACTGGTCGAACTGGCCGGTCCGGTCCGATTTTCAATCCTGAAATATGTTACCAAGTAGTTTCGCAGAATTTAAAAGGATTTAACATTTGTCATACCAAACAATTTTCACGATTTAACACCCTCTGGATTTACTAAATTCGGATTTACAGGATTTACTAAATCCCACTAAAATTAAATCTCACTTGTTGCCAAACAACCCTTAGGTTCAGCGGATTTACGTGATTTGGCTGAAGAAGTGCACGAAAAGGGAGAAAGTTACCTTCACAGTAAGTGAGCTCCCGTTGTTGCTTCCAATCATAAAATGTCATAACTTCCGCTCCAACAGGAAGGGAACGTCGTCGAAGGAGCGAAGTCTAACAACGATGAAGAAAGAAGAACTCGTGTAAAACTCTACACTCCTGCGAAGTAACGAAGCCGAAAGAAATACATAAGGGAAAGGCAAAAACTATACTCCTCTAAGTTATTATTTGATAACTTAATTAATATAATTTAAAAAATTAATAATTAAGTGAAACTAATTCAATAATATTTAAAATTATTAATAAAATTATTAGTTAAATACTTAGTTATTTCAAAATAATTAATAAGGAATCAATCAAATAAATAAAAAATTAAACCAATTAAATCCACCAAATATATAAATAAAATTTTCAATATCTAAAATATGTTTCGAATAAATGAAAAGTTATTCAATTTTAATTATTTGTATACCATTCTTGAAACTATTGGTAAATATACTCAATTAATTTATATTGAAATCTAAAGATAGCTGACTCATTGAGTTTGGAGCTTTGATTTTCCTTACTTGAGTCTTCTTCCCTCTACACAAGCTTATCCTCCTATTGACCAATCCTCCAAGTAAGCCTTGTGGAAGCACTCTTCATTTTCTTGTTTTGAAATGATTATATTATAAAGAACCACATATCCATATATTTGAGTTCTTATAGTGAGTTATCTTCTATCTTGCGATATAGTGCAACTCCTACAAAGCATTTAAAAGATAAATGCATGTGTAACTTATCTATATTCTAACTATTTTCTATGCATATGGAAACAAATCCAATGACCTATCCCTTCCTTGTTAATGTTTTTTTGATGTAATTCAATCTCCTATGATCATGATACTCTTTCGAAGAAAATATATTCTCCTATGAATCACATATGATTGAAATGGTTATAAGCTCTTGAACTATAATATAAAACATATCACTATAGTTTGAATAAATCTTACATATCTAACAAGTCTCTAAATTCACGGGGAATTTTATGTATTGCTTCCTTTTTAAAGAAGATGAGCTTAAATGAGACTTATAACTAGTTTAATTAATGAGATGAAAAAAAAAAAACTTTTTAGTTCCTCAAAATATTTAAAGAGGAGTATTCCTTGAATATCAACATCATTATCAATCATTCATTTAATGGAAAGAGTGATTACAAAGAAGTGATCATCTCCTCTCTATAATCTTCCCTCTCTTATGTAATATTTATGTTAATATCTAGTTTCACTTAAATCATCAATATTTGAAGTTCCCTCTAAAATTTATTCATATGTGGTTCATTAATACTGATAGATCAAAGTTTCACAGAAGAATTCATGGGAGCATTTCTAAAAGGCTCATCATGTCTTCGTTTAGATCCAATTGATACAAATTGATACAAACAACATTATGTAAATTTTGTATGAGTTGTTGCACTCATCGACAAAAAAAAAATATTTAGAAAAGGTTATCTTGTAAAATAGTTAGCTGCAAAAAGTGCAAGAATTAGAAGAAATATATGGCTTTTGAAATAAACTACAGATGAATAAGTGCACATTAATGATGGAGTGGTCTAGGGTGATTCGTGATGCTATGGGAAGGAGGACATCTATAATAATAACCACCTTTTAAATTCCTTATATACACGTGTTTCTCATGGAAGAGGAAGTTTATTTTTCCAACTTGTTTGGTATTTGACTTTTATCTGTGTATGCCCCAAATTTCTTGTACTTAACTTGAGTCAACCTAATTGGCTCGAAGAGGTTGATCTCATAGGTTAATCAAAAGTAACAACATAATGAGTGGCTACATATGGGCACATCTTATATAAAAAAATCATTAATGCACATCTCATGTAACTATAGAAATATAATTATCATATATCTTTTTTATAACAATATCTTATTAGGATTTATTATTTCTTTCAAGTACTTGTTGCGGATTTATGGTTTATGATTTTGATGATAGCAAACAATTATTGTTTCTCTACGACTGCTTTCTACTAACATTTCAGGTTCATAAGATCGGACTGCAATTTGAAATCAGCTCAAGATTGGGTAGACTAGGTCTGAGTCAGTTTATATCCTTTTTCCTATCTTGAGTCTATTGTATTTAGTGTGGCTCCTGATGATTTGTAGCTTGGAAGATTTTTCTGTTATTCCCTAAAGTTTTCT